CGTACCCGTTCTATGAACAGGAAAATAATGTCTTCTAGACAAAAATCAATGTCGCGATGTAAATAAAAATGTCAATACTGCAGTAATTTAAAGTTATTTGATTAAAGCAGATGTTTCTATTTTATACCTGAAAAAATAGGAATTTTCAAAAGTTAAACTTACCTATAACTAATGTACATCGTCCAAAACCTCTGGATGTACAACATTCCTGTTTTTACTGTTGGGTGCCAAGATGTGAACAGCATCTTTATGATATCTATAGTTCGGGACATGGCTACCAACAACATTCCATGTGAAAATACTGTGCCGATGAGATCTAGGCCAACTGTACGAAGAAACTGTTCCTTAGCTTTATTAATTGTAATGGCAAAGCATGGTCTGAGGGGGAATTGCTTTCGTTTGAATATGAAAGGTACTCCACTGTCTGTTGGTTGAAGCATAATTCGAGGAATCCATTGTTTTTCATTTTTGTATGGTCCAGAAAAAATTTCAACCCCAATGACGTTTGGCATGGTTTGTGTTACAACACATCTTGTACCATTCATTAATTTTTGTGGGTTAAGAGAGCGGAGGACCATTACGGGAATACCAGTTTTTAATTTCAGAACATGGGGTGGAAGGTCGGCCAGTTGAATGGAGTTCAGGAATTCCACAGGGTAGTGGGGTACATCGTCCTCTTTGAGTGCAGTATTTACAGACTGATAGACTTTCGGTGTAGACGACATCAAGTCAATGAGTGTGTTGTTAATTGTTTTGATTGTTTCATTTAAAGGAGCTAGTATGGCCCTATCTGACAGCCATTGCAAATTTTCTAAATTGTCTGCAAAATCGGGAAAAACTTGGTTGATGAGGTTTTCAATAGAAGTAAAAACTTTTCCAAGTCCGAGAACGCTGATTATGTCTGGTTCAACAAGAACTGATTTCCTTCCGTTTACAATGTGTACAAACATACGCACACACATACACAAACACATCAGAATGCACACATACACACACATACACACACATGCACACTCATACACACACAAACACACATAAGCAACTACAACACACGCCCACAACAAACAAAACACACACACACACACACACACACACACACACACACGCACATACATACACGTAAACACACGCGAGCACGCGCACGTACAG